TCTCTCTCTCTCTCTCTCTCTCTTTCTCTCTCTCTCTCTGCCCCCCTCTCTGTCCCCTCTTTCTCCTTCCCTTCCTCTCTCTCTCTCTTTCTCTCCCTTTCTCTTTCTCTTTCAACGAACCGTTTCTATATGATCCCTCTCTGCCGTGACTGCCCCCGATCGTCCGGTTGCCGTTCTATCCGATCCCCGTAGCCCGTCTCTCGTTCCATGGCTCCGCCACCCCCTCGTCCCTGTTGGGTGATTGGTACGCGACCGCAGCCACCCCCGCTTTTTAATACACCCGCACCTGCATAGGCTGCACCCGCAACCGGTGAGCCGCCATACCATATATATGTATATGTGACGGGGTGCATCCAACCCCTCTACGCGAACAGCCATCCCCCTCGTTCCCCCTTTTCGGCCAGTTCCGGCATGGAACTCGTGGCCCTCGTCTCCCTCGCGCCAACGCTCCGCGTCAACGTCACGGTGTACTGAGTGATTCATCGATCGAACGTATTCGCGTCGTCCCTGCGTCCATTCCCCAAAATAGCGACAAAGACTAGTCCTCTCGTGGCGCATAGTTCGTATACAGGCTCACGACACTAAAACCGCCGCCAGCAAGTCGCCGGATATAGGAAAATGCATTTCAGGACAGTTCGCGGACTGATTGGCTGATTCTTTCGATCACGAACAAAGCTCTGTGTGTCTTTTACAAATTCTGACAGATATTTTAAATGCAGAGAAAACGCAACTATTGTTTAACATATGAATCGATTGTTTGTGTCAAATATTTGTCATCTAATTTAAAATGTAAAATTTGTAATTCCCGATTAATTTTTTAAATAAAAAATTTAAAAAATATAAACGATAAATATAGAATTATTACGCTTTCTATTTTACGAGTAACGTAAAAAAAAAAAGATTAACACAGAATCACATATTCAAAATCAAGAACGTTCATAAAACATAAACATATTAAGAAAGAAGAGATAAAAATAAATATAGTTTTGCATATTAAGAATTAGAAAAAAAAAAGATGCAATCGCGGATACAATAAGAAAGGTGGATCGCTTAAGGGGTGCTCGTTTATCCCTTTTCCACGTTGGTGAAAGTGTTGAAGCTCAGAGAAAAATATCTCAGCCGTAAATAAATTATAAGAGCCGAAAAAAGTTTTCCCAGCACACTGGCATCCCGCTGCCGCTCCGAGTTCCGGATAGCGCGACGCTCGCTAGGAGAAGGTTGGAGGTGTACTTTAGTACTTTTTGTCCTTCCAAGCTGCCACCGGCCCCGCCCGACCCTCCGCCTTTTCCGTTAGGAGAGGGTATTCTTTTTTTATTTTTTCACTACCCTCTCTCGCCAGCCGAGCACTTTAGATAATAAGGCCAGGGCGCTCGCTACGGACGAAAGGGTAAATTGGGTATTCGTCCGAGGAATTATCTCTCTAATTTCTTTAACGTACTAGTCTCTCACCTTCCGTTCCTCTTATGTATGTATAATTTCCATCGCATCGCGCGCAACCCCCTTGCCACCCTCTTACTATCGAGACAAGCTCGAACCCTATCAGCAGATACCAGAGTCTCTTCATACTTCCTGAAGATGAAAGCTTCAGCCAGAAAGATTAGGAATATCCAACCGCATGATGTAATTATTTTGTCGATTCTTTTGATGCGGTTCGGCCAGTTAGATTCGCCACAGCTACTATCATCTTTTCAATATTCAGCATATTAATTATTAAATAAACTTAACTTATCTTGAAATAAATTAACTCTAATCAGTATTCGCCCCAAATTTTTTTTAACTGGTATATATATTCAGATTCAGTATATTTTAAATTACTGTATTTTTGGTTTGAAGTTAATGTTATTAAATAATTTTGTTTTTATTCTAAATTCAAGGTGTAAAATTATGTCAGATGGTATAACTAAACAATTATAAACAATTTATTAGAATGTTGAGAAAAAAATCCGATTCGCGAATACCAATTAAAATTAAAGTTGCACGCAAATTTAAAGTAATCTCTATTGTGTAAGTACTTATATTAGTATCAAATCACAGAAACATTGCAAATATATAAATTGTCTACAACGTAAGATATTCGCTTTGTCTTGCGGGAGACGTAACAAAACTATTACAAGCAGCACGCTGAAGCTAATAATAATAAACGATCGACGATGTAAGGAGGGATGGCGATGTAATTCGGACAAATGATAGTTCACGACTATCGGTTGGCGAGGGTGGAAGCTCGTATCCATCGGAATGGCCCTGAAATTAGATCCCACCCTTGGCGCAGGTCCGAGTTCGACAAATTCGGTTAGCCGGATGAAAAATGAAGCGTTACTATCGACAGCCTAGCAATGAGATCGGTCGGACGTACAATTTCTTTCGCAAGCTAAAGTTAGTTATATTCAATTTTAAACACGCAATTATAAAAGCAGAATTCCTAAGATTCTATTAATCTTTAGAAGGCGAAGTCTATTTTACAAATTTTTAGAATTTTTAAAATCTTATAATTTTTCCTTGAATAAGATCTGTTATAATTCAGTATTCATTGTATTCTTTGCATTCACATATTCTTTGTATTCATTGTATTCTCAAAATACACTGTTTCAAAGCCCACTGCTTTCCCATTCTATAAAAGTTTCTAAAATTAGTTTTACCAAATTTAAATCTCATCTGCAATAATGTGCACTTAGTACATACATTACAATGATCAGTTTTGACTCGAGGATTGCTTTACAAAGGATCAGTCCATCACGACTTCCACGGATCAGATGTCAACGCAGAAATAATTGTAAGAGAAGAGGTTTGTTCCTCGTGTAGCCCGAAGCGCTCGTCATATTATGTTTGCTTCTGGTGTTTGCGACTCCCCATGCTCCGGATGACGATATTTCGAATGAAGGGTGGCTCGGTAAGGCGGATATATCCGTATTTGTTTCTCGTGCGCACGAAATATTTAATGATTCGCGACATACGATAATATAACAATCAGGAAAAAACATGTTGATCAGATGTCATCGCAGCTATATTTCTTAAAAATTACGGAAGTAACCGAAATCTCAACAATAATTTTTACTTTAAATATTGTCGACAAATTTTTCTATTTTATTCACATAGATGTTCAGTGGCAAAATCGAGCTTTATGGCAAACCGTGAACGACCTTAATTCCATTTAGGTGCGCTTTCCAAATCGTCGGCAACATCTTTTCAATGGTTGAGATGAACGAATTGAACGGAACGAGTCGATGAAAGGGGAAGCGAAGCAGGAGGTGGCAGCATCGCCAAAAGCGTAACTCTGCCAAAGACAATATAAAAGTTGGGAGGGTCTCGCGGGATTGGAAGTCGTAAATATCATCTGCTAAATAAAGCTTCATCCTCGAGTACAACTTGGGCGATGGTGAAAACCCCTTTGCACCATGCGCTGGAGGGGGACAAATCCAAGACAAAGACTCGTAACGCCGACTGGCATTAAAATATTGAAAGAAAGAAGAGTAGGGTGTACTAAACGGTCTCTACTCGATCCTTTATTTTTTTCATTTACCATACATATTTCGACTTTTATATTTTAACAATAAGAAAAATTTGACTAGGCTTGATCATTTCCTACCCATATAAATTTCACCCAAGGATGTAAAAATTTTTAATTAATGAATTGCTAAGTTAAAAACACTTTTACGTCATTTCGATCACAAGTCTTATTTGAAAAATAAGTTGATATAAGCATTGTAAATGAC